TCCTGACAGGTGTTCTCTGATCCATTGTAGTGCCTTCCCTGTTATCCCTGCCTGGTCCTTCAGCTTTTGCACTAATCTCTTGTGTGGAAAATGTGTCAAAAAACCTTCTTACAGTCCAAGAAAATGCAATCTACCCACCACTCTCTCTCTTGTCTTACTGCTGTCACCCTGTCATAGAACCAGTAGGTTTGTGACAGTATTTCCCGTCCATGAAACCATGTTGGCTGCTGTTGATGAGATCATTCCTTTCTAGTTTAGTGCTTTTTTGGTGTGTGTGTGTGTGTGTGTGTGTGTGTGTGTGTGTGTGTGTGTGTGTGTGTTGTGTGTTGTGTGTGTGGTATGTGTGGGTGGGTGGGTGAGTGGCTGTGTATGGGTGTGTGTGATCGTGTATGCAAGTGTGATAGTTTATTCGATGCTACAAGGGCAAACATGTGCTCGTGGTGTTCCTTCTTTAATATGTACTTTGTCATGTATCTTGTTTTAAATTTTGGTTATCATAGTACACAACGATTGAATGTGTTTTCTAATACAGCATACAGCATTCTACCAGTGATTTCTTTATTCTTTAATCTGATTTACAATGTTGCAAATCATTAGAAAGTTCGTGAGAGGGGATTTTTCCATCTGTAAACCATTGCAGGTTGTCTTTTATTAACCCTCAGTTCCCCACATTTTTCACTTGTCATTATCTTCTTCATTAACTTTAATCACATACATGTCAAGTCTTCAGGTTTAGAGTTAACTACTACCTGAGTCACACTTTACTGAATATTGGAATAATATTCAGTCACGCACATGCACACCAATAAACACACCCACACACATCCACACACAAATACAGACACACAAAGACAGACAGACAGACAGACACACACACACACACACACACCAGTGAAGAGGCGGGGCCAGGAGCTAGGACTCGACCACTGCAACCTCAACTAGGTGAGTACAACTAGGTGAGTACTCACAGAGGGAGCAGAGGGGGAGGAGGAGTTGCATTTCTCATTAAAAGCCGATGGGGATTTGAGGAAACGGAAGGAATGGTTGAAATGGGCTAGAGGAACAACGCAGTAGGAGCAATTCAGTCTGGGGGCCCCTGAGGTGGTAATTGCAGTGATGTACAACCCTACACAGAACTGCAGGAGGCCAAGAGAAGAATACGAAGAGAGCAACAGAGCAATGGTGGGCACACTAGTTGAGGTGGCCAGAAGAGCTCACACGGGTTTGAGCACAGTTCTAGTTACGGGTGATTTCAATCACAAGGAGATTTACTGGGAAAAACTTGGTGCCAAATTTGGGAAATTTCCCAGACATAGAAAAAAAAGATGATGGATGTGGTATGGAAGACATCTGCATCAACATGTTAGGGACACTACCAGAGCGAGAGGTGAGGATGAACCAGCAAGACTGGACCTCGTATTCACTTTGAGTAGCTCGGACATCGAGGGCGTCACACTAAAAGGGCCCCTCGGAGCTAGTGATCACATGGTTCTGAGCTTTGAATACATTGTAGAGTTATAAGTGGAGAGGGTAACAAGAGTAGGATGGAAAAAGCCAAACTACAAAAGGGACGACTACACAGGCATGGGAGTTTCAGTGGGAAAGAGAACTGGTAGGAAAATCAGTAACCGAAATGAAGGACTACGTGACAACAAAATGCAAGGAGGCAGAGGAGAGGTTTGTTCCCAAGGGCAGCAGAAAATTTTGGAAGAGCAAACGATCCCCTTGGTTCACCCAAAGGTGTTTGGGAGGCAAAACTAAAATGTGCTAAAGAATATGAAAAGTACAGAAGACAAAAGACCCAAGAAAATAAAGAGACTAGTCGAAGAACCAGAATCGAGTATGCACGGATGAGGAGGGAGGTCCAGCAACAGTACGGAAACGACATAACATCGAAAGTCAAGTCTGACCCGAAGCTGTAGTATAGTCATATCAGGAGAACAACAGTCAAGGACCAGGTAATCAGGTTAACGAAGGAATGTGCGGAGCTCACAAGAAACGACCATGTAGTATGTGAAGAGTTCAGTACGAGATTTAAAGAAGTATTTACACTGGAGACAGAAAGGACTCCAGGAAGTCAAAATAGGAGGGGTACACCAACAAAGGATATACCAAAAAGTGCTGGACGAAGTACACACAACTGAGGAGGAGATGAAAACGCTGCTAAGTAAACTAGATACCTCAAATGCAGTGGGACAAGACATCGTCTCTCCTTAGAGAGAGAGAGCAGAGATGCTGTGTGTGCCACTAACAACAATCTTCAACACATCCATTGAAACTGGGCAACTACCTGATGAATGGAAGATGCAAATTAAGTCCCAGTTTTTAAGAATGGAGACAGACACGGTGCATTAAACTACAGACCAGTGTCACTGACGTGTATAGCATGCAAAGTCATGGAGAAAATTATCAGGAGGAAAGTGGTGGAGCACCTAGAAATGAACAAGTTTATAAAAAGTCAACCAGCACGGTTTCAGGGAAGGGAAATCCTGTGTCACAAACCTACTGGAGTTTTATGAGAAGGTAACGTAAGTAAGAGTGGGATGGGTAGATTGCATTTTCTTAGACTGCAAGAAGGCCTTCGACACAGTTCCTTAGAAGAGATTAGTGCAAAAGCTAAAGGATCAGGCACGCATAACAGGAAAGGCACTGCAATGGATCAGAGAATACCTGACAGGGAGGCAACAACGAGTCATGGTACGTGACGGTTTGTCAAAGTGGGCGCCTGTGACGCCTGGTCCTAGGACCAGTGCTGTTTTTGGTATCTGTGAATAACATGACGGTAGTGATAGACTCAGAAGTGTCCCTGTTAGTAGATAATGTTAAATTAATGAGGAGAATTAAACTGGATGAGAATCAGGCAGATCTACAAAGAGACCTGGGCGGGCTGCAAGCCCGGTCCAGCAACTGGCTCCCCGAATTTAACC